CCTCGTCCCCCCGCCCCCGCGAGAGAGAGAGAAGGAAAGGGAAAGAGAAGAAAGAAAGAGAAAAACGAAAAAGAGGGAGAATAGGAAAGAAAGGAAAAGAAAGAAAAGAAAGGAGGCAAGAGCCCTTCGCCCCTGTTTCCCTCTTTTCTTATTCTTTTTCCTCTTCTTTCTTTCCTTTTATATTTTCTTTCCCTCTCCCTTCTCTTTCCCTTATGGCGGGAGGGGGGAGGGGGAGGTAAGAGCCTTTCGCCCTTCCCCCGTTTCCCTCTTTCCGTCTTCTTCTTCTTTCTTTCCTTTTATATTTTCTTTCCCTTTCCCTTTCCCTAATTCTCTCTATCTCCCTCTCTCTCTCCTATTTATTTGTTGGCGCGGGAGGGGGGGGGGGAGGAGGCAAGAGCCCCTCTTTTCTTCTTATTCTTCTTCCTTTCCTTTTTTATTCTCTTTCCCTTTCCCTTCTCTCTCTCTCTCTCTCTTATTTATTTTTTGGGCGGGGGGATGCAAGAGCCCTTCGCCCCCGTTTCCCTCTTTTCTTCTTCTTCTTCCTCTTCTTTCTTTCCTTTTATCTTCTCTTTCCCTTTCCCTTCTCTCTCTATCTCTTATTTATTTTTTTGGCGGGGGGTGGGGAGGGAGGAGGCAAGAGCCCTTCGCCCTTCCCCCGTTTCCCTCTTTCCTTCTTATTCCTCTTCTTTCTTTCCTTTTATATTTTCTTTCCCTTTCCCTTCTCTCTCTTATTTATTTTTGGCGGGGGGGGGGGGAGGAGGCAAGAGCCCTTCGCCCTTCCCCTGTTTCCCTCTTATTCCTCTTCTTTCTTTCCCTTTCCCTTCTCTCTCTCTCTCTCTCTCTCTCTCTCTTATTTATTTTTTTGGCGGGGGGGGGGGGGAGGGGGAGGTAAGAGCCTTTCGCCCTTCCCCCGTTTCCCTCTTTCCTTCTTATTCCTCTTCTTTCTTTCCTTTTATATTTTCTTTCCCTTTCCCTTCTCTCTCTTATTTATTTTTGGCGGGGGGGGGGGGGGAGGAGGCAAGAGCCCTTCGCCCTTCCCCTGTTTCCCTCTTATTCCTCTTCTTTCTTTCCCTTTCCCTTCTCTCTCTCTCTCTCTCTCTCTTATTTATTTTTTTGGCGGGGGGGGGGGGGGGGGGGGGGGGTAAGAGCCTTTCGCCCTTCCCCCGTTTCCCTCTTTCCTTCTTCCTCTTCTTTCTTTCCTTTTATATTTTCTTTCCCTTTCCCTTTCCCTTCTCTCTCTCCTTATTTATTTTTTGGCGGGGGGGGGGGGGGGGGGGTGAGGAGGAGGCAAGAGCCCTTCGCCCCCCCGTTTCCTTCTTTTCTTCTTATTATTCTTTCTTTCCTTTTATCTTCTCTTTCCCTTTCCCTTTTTTCCTTCTCTCTGTCTCCCCCAGCTAGGGCTGGTTTTGTTTACGAAGCGCCCGTCAGGAGAGTACACGATAGAGTACACGATAGAGTACACGATAAAATTGACGATATCGTGAACTTTATATCGTGAACTTTTCACGATAAAATTCACGATATCGTCAATTTCATCGTGAAAAGTTCACGATAAAGTTCACGATATCGTCAATTTCGTGAATTTCTTCGTGAAAAATATGCGATAAAATTGACGATATCGTGAATTTTATCGCATATTTTTCACGATTTAGTCTATTCGCGATGTCCCTTCAGGGCCACCATACTATGCTCAGACCATTTGTTATGCATTACAAATGGCAAGGATTTGTGCTTATAGCCTGCAAACTATCCCCGAATTTCTTTTGAGTGTGACTCGCATTCTCTCCCTATTAGACCGTGGGCCGAGCGCGATTTTCCTTCCAGTTCGTTGCATAGATTCCGGTACAAGATTTAGATAATGTTAATAAAAAGATAAAAATACACAAATCCCAAATCAGCTTATTCCTGCGAATGAGTCCTTGTCGTTCGTATAAAACATAAGTTTAATTGACAAGTTATTTAAGAGAAATGTGCGTGAACGAGACCGCCAACTCTCCGTTCGTACACGTGTATTAACTCACCGTGCGACGAGAGTGAAACAGCACATTCTCCGTCTCCGTCGTACGAAGAAATTATGTAATCCATACGAATATTTCCCAAAGCTAATCACATTTGCTGATGTAAATAATATGATTTTGCAAATATTAACTGCGAAAACTAATGAAAACCTCGTCAGGGTGAAAATATTTCGAAAATGAGGGGTCATAGCTATCATGAAACAGACGAGAAATAGCGCGTTGCCAATTTGATATTATTGTAAGGATTGTATGCAATTATCTTGAATGTACACTGATCTGTGTAGAGATCAGTGGCTCCGTACTGACAAGACTCGAGTAAGTTTTGTATAATTAAAACTTTTGATGAAAAAATTTCTTATATTAGCGATTCAATGGTAGTTTAAGAATAGGCCTACAGAATTAGAGTCCCTAAATATTCATTGTAATTATAAAAAAAGATATATGTCTTTTTATTTCCAGTCCTGTAGTAGTTTTTACATGTTTTCAAATGTTTTAATTTTTTAGAAGTTTTAGATTTTTTTTTTTTTTTTTTTTTGGGGGGGGGGACACGCTTAATAAGGTATACGGGATGTGGGTGACTTTCTTTCCTGGAGGAAGAAATATGACAATGTTTATTCAAAATTACACTGCATTCACTGGCTTAAAAATTGATAACAGATACATGCTGAGGTATATATGTGAAGTGTACAGAATGATAATGTATAATTTTATGTCGTCTGGATTTTGAAATCATGTGATGTTATTATAGTTATACAGAATGTTTTCATACATGTTTGCTTTACAGAAATTTTATTTGTCAGGACTTATACATTTTTGACTAAACAAATGGTAACAAGGTTTTATATCCTTTTCCATGTTTTCCCCTCTTCCTGTCAGATCTGTATACCAGAAGCCGATACTTACAAGAAACACTTAATAATATTGTTTAATAAGTAAAATACACAGATTTAAGAGCATATTATTTTCTGTTAGTTTTGTTATGTTTTGATGAACTGAATGCCCATCTACATGTATGTGCGAAGAACCATTTACTGGATGAGAATGTGAAATGAAAGATAAATGTCGGTATGTGAAGGCTTCCACTTAACCAAAAATAAATGAATATAAATAAATATATTATTTTATAAAGGTTTACGGGGATCCGGGACGGGAATCATGTGCCGCCGGAATGCGTGATTTTTCCACAAAAAAATCACTTGACAAGGGTTAGGGTTTTGTAGGCCTAATTCAGATCGGATATTTTAGCTCATTCTTTCGCTGGAGTATACAAAAAAAAAACTTTTAAATAATGGCCCCCGTTCTGCCTAAATGACCATTAAATATAGGTACGGGTTAGTTGTCGGCCTTATACATTTTGTCAGGACTTATGACATTTTTGACTGAACAAATGGTGACAAGGTGTCAGTTGTCAGCGGCACACCCCAGTCGGAACCAAAATGTGAGTACCTCCACCCCATGGCATAATTTGTTAACCAAAATAAAATATTTTATAAAGGAAGAAACCAATGAATTTATTTAAGATGAACATGAATAAATGATTGAAGAAATAAATTGTCACATGTCACCAAAAAACGTTTTAGTTCTACTCATTTTGTTTTTCTTTTTACTTTCCTGAAATGGAATATGGATCACTTCCGAAACACTTCAATGAATATACACTTCAATAAATTTATCATTTGGCAGCTGTGGATCCAGGGGGGGGGGGGGGGGTGAGAGGAATCGAAGAAATTCACTGACGAGCAAGCCGAAAACATCAAGGATAAACCCGACATAAAAGGTCCTTGGCCTTTTCAGGTGTTTAATGAATTTTCCCGGCCCATCCCCTTTGGAGGAGGATTTTTTTTCTTCAAATGAATGTTTCATATATACAAGTATATTTATATATTTTGGGTTAAGTGGAAGCTTTTGCATACTGACATTTATCTTCCATTTCACATTCTCATCCAGTAAATGGTTCTTCACACATTCATGTAGATGGGCATTCCGTTCATCAAAACATAACAAACTATAATAACATCACATGATTTCAAAATCCAGACGACATAAAATTATACATCATCATTCTGTACACTTCACATATAATACCTCAGCATGTATTTGTTATCAATTTTTAAGCCAGTGAATGCAGTGTAATTTGAATAAACATTGTCATTTTTCTTCCTCCAGGAAAGAAAAGTCACCCACATCCCGTATACCTTATTAAGCGTGTCCCCCCCCCCCCCCCAAAAAAAAAAATAAAACATTTGAAAACATGTAAAAACTACTACAAGACTGGAAATACAAAAAGACATATATCTTTTTTTATAATTACAATGAATATTTAGGGACTCTAATTCTGTAGGCCTATTCTCAAACTACCATTGCATTGCTAATACAAGAAATGTTTTCATCAAAAGTTTTAATTACACAAAACTTACTCGAGTCTTGTCAGTACGGAGCCACTGATCTCTACACAGATCAGTGTACATTCAAGAATATTGCATACGATCCTTACAATAACATCAAATTGGCAACGCGCTATTTCTCGTCTGTTTCATGGTAGCTATGACCCCTCATTTTCGAAATATTTTCACCCTGACGAGGTTTTCATTAGTTTTCGCAGTTCATATTTGCAAAATCATATTATTCACATCAGCAAATGTGATTGGCTTTGTGAAATATTCGAATGGATTACATAATTTCTTCGTACGACGGAGACGGAGAATGTGCTGTTTCACTCTCGTCGCACGGTGAGTTAATACACGTGTACGAACGGAGAGTTGGCGGTCTCGTTCACGCACATTTCTCTTAAATAACTTGTCAATGAAACTTATGTTTTATACGAACGACAAGGACTCATTCGCAGGAATAAGCTGATTTGGGATTTGTGTATTTTTATCCTAATTTCTGGTTACCAAAAACTATGTACCACAAAGTCAGTCCAAAAAAAGAAAACTAAGCCCTAAAATCCCGCTCGGCCCACGGTCTATATGCTCCTTTTAGATGTGCGGCTTGCCGGGACAGGTAGCAGCGAGCGGATGGGACGGGTAGAGGTCTTCCTCGGCGGAGAATGGGGGACAGTTTGCGACGATGACTGGGGTTACGATGACGCTGATGTGGTCTGCAGACAGCTGGGCTACCATGAAGGTGCTTCTGGCTTTACGACTAATGCCCGGGAATTCGGCCAAGGCTCAGGAAATATCTTCCTCGACGACGTGTCATGTAAGGGCTATGAGGATCGAATCACCGACTGTGAAGCCCTTTTGAATACTGTTGGGGAAACCAATTGTGGCCATGACGAGGATGCAGGAGTGAAATGCCAAGGTTAGTATCATTGTTAAATATTGACCATTTATTTGCCAAGGCGGGGGTGGGGGGGGGGGGGGTGGTGGGCAGAGGGATGGGGCCCAATGCATGAGGGGGGATGCAAAGAAAATGAAGAGAACTAATATGCTTCATTAAGGTTTGAGCGCCTCCAATCCGGGGTAAAGTACCTGTATATGCATAGAGAAAGACTGTTTTAGAAGGGCTTAAAATCATGAAACTGAGAAAAACAAATCTAAAGCTCGGTCGATCGCTTTGCTCTATTGCATTATAATCGCGTTGCTTACAGGCATATGCGTTTAATAAGATCCTGGTGCCTTTTGCGACCTCAAACTAGGATAAAGTTCATAATAACATTCCAAAGATTCAACAATGGAGAAAAAAAACTAAATGTTAACGGCCTAGCTAAATCATAATTAAATACTGGAATAAGATTAGGTATAAAGTTGGCACCCTGGAGATGTAAGAGGTAAAATTATGTGTGTTTGGGGTCACTCTTATTCTTTATAATTCGAACGACCAGTCGCTGAGCTACTTTGCAAAGGATTGTATAAACGATGAAAAACATAAATAATCTCTTTTCTCAGGGTGAAGATTTTTCGTTGGAACATCAATTTATTGATACTTAATATAACACAATAAGAAAAGCCAAGGACTGGACCTGAATAATCTTCCATGCAGGGCAGGTAATGTAAACATATACAAATCATTAAAAAAAAATACAAATCTTTATGCTAGTTAATATACAGAATTGGTAGCCATGTAATGTGAAAAATCTTATAAAATATTGGAAAATAGTAAATATTAAGTTCTTCTTTTATTACCCCCCCCACCCCCCCCCCCCCCCAAATATGTTGAGATGAGTAACTTCTTAAGACAAACAATCAGGGGTAATACAGACAAATCATAATTTGCATCCTGACACTGTCACCGTAGTATTTCGACACCTCCCAAGTCCCATAAACCACTTAAGATATTACTTTACATGAACATGAATTTGTTGTAAAGATAATGGGCATTGATCAGGTATGGTTGCTCCTGGCCAAATACAGCCACACTAGCAACGTCGTGCACGGACCAGGGTTTGGGTTTCATATACGGTGTTGTTTTTTGCATAATGAATAACCACTGAAGAGGTCACTGCTTGTCTAGAAATGTTATTCTGAACAAAAATTGAACTTCGTTGGTTTACCAAATTCATTAAGGATTGTTTTAGTCCTTTCGTATTGTCCGAAGAGATAAACACTGGGAGTCAAACTCGATAGTAAAGTATTGTACACAGGTTGATTGTACAGATAGTATCCTTGTGATTCAATATCGAAACTTAGTAGGAGCGTACTTTCTTTCTTTATATTCGTGAGTTTTGCGTATAAAGCACTTGTTTGAAATGGGACCGATGATTCCAAATTCTCGAATCTGAAGTTTCTTAAGATTTTGCCGAAACAAATATCAGGGATCAGATTTGTCTGAGTACATTCAACCAGGGGTATATACCCCCCCCCCCCTCTTTGGTATTTTGATGTGTCTATTTTTGAGGGAAACCCCCCTAACCCCCCCCCCCCTTGACAAAATCCTGCGTACGCCACTGTTGTTATCATTAATCTTCTTCTTACTGTTGTTAAAGGTAGTATTGTTATAGTTGTTACTGTTGTGGATGTAGTAATAGTAGTAGTGATTATTTTACTTGAATGCTAAGAAAACATAGATGCTTGTTAATAATCAACTAGAGGACCGACGTACAGTGGGCCAGGGAGGAACCAAAGTGCGCCAAAACTCATTTTTGGGGATATATCTTTTATAAATCCAGAGGAAATGTTTGGATTTCCAGGGATCAACTCTTTAGCAAGTGGTAGGAGCAACGTTTTGTTTTCCTATTAGCTTTCTCTGATATCTAAGCTTTAAGTTGATACCAGATTTGGCTGCCCGATTCTGCCCGTTATAATGTTAGAGCCGTTTTCCTTGCAACATTGCACCGAAAAATGTGTTTATTTTGTTCCGCGGTGTCAGAACAAGTGTCACGCGCCTCCACGCGCCGTGATTTATGACCGCGAATCCTTCATGATTCAGCCGCGGACCAAAAAAACAACATTTTTCGGGGCAATGTGGCAAGGGAAATCGGCACTAACATAACAACGGGAAAGATCGGGCAGCCAAATTTGGTATCAACTTCAAGCTTAGACATCAGAGAAAATGGTGGTATTAACATTTAAGCGGAACTCCGCGGAACTCTAAACATTTCCTATGGATTTATAAAAAAACATGGATGATTAGTCCATTTTTTCAGTGAATTACCCTATAGTTTATCATGAAGATTGTGTTTCTATTAATTTTAACCCATTCATGCAACGAAATGAACTATCAGGAATATGTGAGAGCAATTTCATATCAATAACTTAAAAACTTCATGTTAAATTAAAAGATTTATAAAATAAGTCACTTTTGCACTAAAACTGTGAATATGTAGGATTTTGCTATTTGAAGAAGTAAATTTATACCCTTATTGAGCAAACCGAAATTAAATATTTTACTGAGGTATTCCTCAATGTGTTACCTTTCAAATGGGCAAGACAAAAGTTGAAAAAAATAAATCACCAAAAATGAGTTTTGGCGCGATTTGTTCCCTCCCTGGCCCACTGTATGTGCGACGAACTGACGAAGAACATTGCTTTTCTATCTTCCAAAATTACAAAAGAGTGAATCAAACTAAAGTGTTGAACAAAAACATGAAGGTTGAAAACTGTTATTCTCCCACATATTTTATTGCTAATAAAACAAATCCTTGCTGTCACAAAGGAATTTCACTTCCTTGGCATATAGGACAACTTGGTGCACATACATGTATTGCTACAAATGGTCCGAAACAGCTCAAATAATGTAACAAAAAGGACGTCAGCAGGGCGTTCTAATTTTGTTCTGACGTTATGTCCATATCTTAAAAAACGGGACGGCGACTCGAATTGAAAATTAAAACAGCAGAGTAATGATGGTACAATGACAATAATGGCATCATTATTTATTATCACCATCATAACAGTCGTTACAAATACTATCGTCTTTACAATTATCATCATTATCGTGTTCGTGTTCTTTAACATCATCGTATTTGTCTTTAAAAGAAATTAAATACAGACCATCTCATAAGTTTTCACAATTATAAATGGCTCGTTATAGGGTGTACCGTGGACTCGGATTGCGAGCAGGATGGAATTTGTAATGTGGATATGTACTGCGCCTGTCAACCTGGGTACTTTGGTGAAAACTGTGAAGACGGTAAGATTTCCTAAAAAACTCCTACCTTTTAACCTAAGCTTCGCATCTCCATTTGATCACGAATGCAAAGTTACACAGTGTTAATTTAATTCGATGGCCTTTATTAGTTCATTCCAAGCGACGAACTGACGAAGAACATTGCTATAAGAATTATTCTTTCTTCAAAAATTTCAAAAGAGTGAATCAAGCTACAGCGTTGAACAAAAACGAGAAGTTTGAAAACTGTAAGTCTACCACGTGTTCTATCGCTAATAAAACAAATCCTTGCTGTCACAAAGGAATTTCACTTCCTTGGCATATAGGACAACTTGGTGCACATACATGTATTGCTACAAATGGTCCGAAACAGCTCAAATAATGTAACAAAAAGGACGTCAGCAGGGCGTTTTAATTTTGTTCTGACGTTATGTCCATATCTTAAAAAACGGGACGGCGACTCGAATTGAAAATTAAAACAGCAGAGTAATGATGGTACAATGACAATAATGGCATCATTATTTATTATCACCATCATAACAGTCGTTACAAATACTGTCGTCTTTACAATTATCAACATTATCGTGTTCGTGTTCTTTAACATCATCGTATTTGTCTTTAAAAGAAATTAAATACAGACCATCTCATAAGTTTTCACAATTATAAATGGCTCGTTATAGGGTGTACCGTGGACTCGGATTGCGAGCAGGATGGAATTTGTAATGAGCATAAGCTATGCGACTGTCAACCTGGGTACTATGGTCCAAACTGTCGAGACGGTAAGATTTCCTAAAAACTCCTACCTTTTAACCTAAGCTTCGCATCTCCATTTGATCACGAATGCAAAGTGACACAAAGTGTTAATTTATTTCGATGGCCTTTATTAGTTCATTCCAAGCGACGAACTGACGAAGAACATTGCTTTAAGAAATATTCTTTCTTCAGAAATTTCAAAACAGTGAATAAAGCTACAGCGTTGAACAAAAACGAGAAGTTTGAAAACTGTAAGTCTACCACGTGTTCTATCGCTAATAAAAATAAAAATATCCGCGCTGTCACAAAGATATTTTGCTTCTTTGGCATATGGGACAACTTGGTACACATATTGACTCTAATCTTCCTAAACAGCTCAATAAATGTAAAAAAGGACGTCAGCAGGGCGTCTTAATTTTGTCCTGACATTATTTCCATATCCTCAAAACAGGAAAACGACTCTAACTATAAATTTAATATTGGAACTGAAACACTGTAGTCTTCATTATTTATCATTATCTTCACCACAGTTGTTATAAATACTGTTATATTTACAATGATTATTATCACTGTGTTCATGTTGGTTTTCGTTTTCTAATGGGGGGGGGGGGGGTACAGTGGGCTCAAATCCCCAGCCTCTAAACAATTAAAAATGAATTATTAGGATTAGAGTAAGGGTGTGCGAAAGGGTTTTATGGATGCGTTTTGACTGATAGTGTTAACTTTTTGTGTTTTGCCCGGATTTTAAGTTAACAATTCGGTTAGTGCAGGAGATGGACCACGGACAAACTGTTGCTGAACATGGGTAGTTGTTTTTCCATTTTCTTTGGTAAACGTTTATGTGATTTTAAATTCAATTCTAGCAGTATTGTCATTGTCATCATAGCTAAGATTGTATGGTTAGCCATTTCATAAATATATGTAAAAGTAGAATTATTACTACTAGGTATGAAGAATTGAATGATATAAAAAAAGGAGGTTCAAGAAATAATTGATTATCCAATTACTGTTGACGGAAAGTAGCTCACATTCAGACGCCGGCATTATGCATATTCAATGAAAATAAGTCCTTTTTAAAAATACAATTAATGCAACAAGAATGATTTGAAAATGTTTTTTTTTCTCTCCCTTTTCAGTAAATATTTTTACAGACTCAAAACGCCAATCGGAGGATGTGGAGTTCTATCTTAAAAAAGAAGAACAGGTAAGGATATTCTTCAAAGACAGATAATAATTGATTTTAAAAAGATGTATTGCTTTCGACTACATGTAGTAAATGCACCATGTGTGCGTACATATATATACACAGTACGTATCGAAAAAGTGTTCGCAAATGAGTAGAGAGAACTTAAATAACACGAAGTTTGTCAGTCGGTGACCTGGGTTCGAAACTAAGTCGATGTGCTAGTGCCCATTGGTAAGGCATTAATCCTCATCACCAGGTCCCTCGGAGAAGACCTAAAACCGTCGGTCCTCTGGTTGCTTAACAAGCATTTATGCTTTCTTTAAGCAGTCAGGTAAAATAACCATCACTTCCACCACTGCTAGGCACTTCAAAATGATTTAGGGTTATCCTATGGATTGAAACAAGGTTCTGTAAAAGCCTAGATACATGGCATCATTTTAAACAATGAAGCAGTGAAGCACGAGGCATAATGTAACTTTTAAGAGGATTTAAGACCAAAGAATACGGCCTGACCCACATTCGTTCCATCAGCCCAGACTCGGTACAAGGCCATTTTGACGCTTGATTTTGACGCTAGTGGCATAAATATTATGAATAGGGTATAATTGGACATAAAACAGGTTACTCTTCATCATGAAATAGATGTAATAACTCAAAAATGAAATGTGGACGAAGTGAATATGGGCCTTTATGGAATGCTTTATAATAATATTAATAATATTCGGATCGTGTATAGCGCACATCACAGTCTTTTTGCGCTTCCAAAGAGCTTTCGAGATTATTACCCCGGCTTTAGCATGGCTCCCATTACGGCGCTCTAGCATTTCAAGGAATTAATTCCTGCCAGGTACCCATTTACCTCACCTGGGTAGATTGTGGCAAATGTAGATTAATGTCTTACCAAAGGACACTATTTCCGTGGTGGGACTCGAACCACGGATCTTGTAATCCACAGTCCGGTGACATATCCACTAGACCACGACACCTCTACATATTTACATATAGTAATATACAAGAAAGATTTCAAAACTTGGTAAGGCTGTGAAAAATTTAGTTGTGAACTGTATATGAAGCGCATCCCATAAGAAAACAAAACCCGAAGACAAATGATTACTGTAAGCGAACTATGAGCAGGATGATAATAATTATTTCATAATTTATAACTACTGTACTTTCCAATGTTGCTTTGATTGAAAGAATCCATACATGCTTCACCGGGCAACGTATTAAATCTTAATGAAAACAAAAATAATAAGAGCTTAATTTATATTGCGCACATATCAATCCCAGAAGATGCTCGAGGCGCCTAAAAAGTACCACTTTTTTACACCCTAGCTTTACCCAAGCTGCTAAAAGGCGCTTAAAACAATGAATGAATTTCTACAAGGAACTCATTTACTTCCATCCGGGTGGAGAGCAACAAAATGTAGATTGATGACTTTTTAAAGGACATTAGCGCCGCGGGGGAACTCGAACTGCGACCCAATACTGTGATTTACAGTCCGATGACGTATCGTGGATGTGTCGTTCACTTGATTCTCAATCAAAGGGTTGAGGGTTCGATTCCCAGCCCTGCACTTATGTCTTTTTGACAAGACATGCCTCTCTCCACTCAGGTGCAATTGGGTACCGAGCAAAATGTTGGGGTAATAATTACAGGACCCTAAGGAAGCGCGGCAATGGTGCTGATAAGGCTTCTCTGGGGGAACAAAATTTTAGTTGTAGTAGCAGTAGTAGTAGTAGAAGTGAGCAAAGCACACTGAGTGGCCACGCTCCTTCGTCTCTGTGAGGCCCTTTGGCACCGTCCAAAGTCACCCTGTGAACTCCCGAGCGCTCGCATATAACATTACCCTATGAACACGATAAAGTACTCCAAACCCATTTTCAAACAACTCTTTAACCTTTGCATTCGATGCCGTTGAGGAACTTTGTACTTGGGTGGTGAAGTCAGTGAAGAAGATAAATACTGTCACAAGGCTGTGATATTTTGCTATTGTTTGGACTGCCACTAAAACTTGTTTAACCTTGCAAACGGAAGACCAACTCAAACAGATGAGCGTTACAAAAGAACATAAATGAATTACAAACATATGAATCTTAAAACCAAGATTAATAAAATTCAATGATAAATGTAAACCCTTTAATAGCTATGTCTTTAATGTGGGTATCTCTTGATTCTTGAGTATCCTGACAACGACTTGATTGTCTGCCTGGCGTCAGCCCATGTCCCTGGATAGACCTGGACCATTGGTTCCGTCCTGTCCCTTAGTTCCAGTTACAGTACAGCTACAGTACAGCTTAGGTACAGCTTAGGTACAGCTAAGGTCCTCGGAGAGGACCTAAAGCCGTCGGTCCTTTGATTGCTTACTAACAAGCATTATGCTTTCTTAGCAATAAGGTAAAATAACCACCATTAACACAAAGATGCTAAACACCAACTTCTTGTTGGTGTTTACATATTTACACTGATTCCAATTCGTCCAATGTGGATTCTTAAGTACTATCAGGTGCAGAGAAGATGATGAATATAAAATAATGATATATGTGTGAATGATTGATTGCAGCATTTTGAATTTGACCGCACCTTTTTTGAAATAACTTGGTCACATTTTCAAGTCATGTTAGTAATCCATTGATTTCTTCATATGGTGATGTGTTATGCTCGACTGCTTAGGCCAAAAAAAAAAAAATCATTTGGTTGTCCTCGACCGCCCGCTCGTCATTTTCGGGCCGCTCGTATGTTTTTTTTTTTTTTTTTTTGGGGGGGGGGGGGGGGGGAGGGGGGGGGGGAGCAATCTTAAATGCCAAACATACCATTTTATGCATTTGCAAGGATCAAAATGCGTCCCGTTGCCAGTTTTGTATTTTCAGTACGCAATTAGGTATTTATTAAACTTGCCATTTTTATTTTTCTATGTCAAAATGCCGTTCATTCAAATCAGGTTCTGAGCATTCTTAAATTCATTTTAAAGCCCATCTGTACTAGTTTACAGGAGGGATTAGACTACCCTGCAAGGTCACTGGACAGGTGGTTATCTCATCAAATCAGCTCTCAGTTAATATAAGATAAAGAGGATCATGGGGGACCAATGGTCACCGATTAGGCATTGTTTGCTACATAGAGGGCGCAAGTAGCTATAAGTAGTACAATGGAGATTTAAAAGGTGCTGTATTTCAAAGCCCAAAATACTTTCTGTGTTGGTCTTGATATTCATTGAACATGAAACTAGTCTTTTACCATATTAAAGTGTTTTATAGACTTTGTTTGTTTAAATGCTTGACAATCCCAATGATTTTTTTTTTTATTGAAAAAAAATATTTAAAAAAAAAAAAATGGGGAAAAAAAAAAAAAAAAAGACACACAAAAATGAAGTTAAAAAAAAAAAAAAAAAAAAAAAAAATCCGCCCGCCCGCCCCTACTCCAGAAAAGCAATCGAGGACAACCAAACAATTTTTTTTTTTGGCCTTATGAGAACTGCGCGGAGTGAGCTTGGACGGTGTGAAAGACCCACACAAAGAAGTAGAAGCGTGACCTCTTAGTTTGTTTTAATCACGTTGACCGTAGGAGTATCATCATCACCATTAGCATCGTGTTTTATTTTCTTACAAACAGATGGCTGCTGAAGAAGAATCCAATGACAAAAAGGAGGCTGACTTGAAGAAGAAAGATTTCCTCCAGGCTCTATATGATCTCCTGGCCGAACTCAATGACAAATAGATGATATAAGGCAGCGGACACACTGAACTTGGAGAGGACTTGGAGCTTAGATATGGAGAGGCTTTTTTCTGCACGTTCGCTCGGCCGTTTATTCATTCACGGTTGGGTCTGGACGAGCAGAGACTATGAGTGATGTCACTTCATATTGAAAGGTGTGACGCGTGACCGTTACAGCGGAGTCGAAAAGTACCCTTTATTTTGCATACTTCCAAGAACATTTTCCCCACAAATATAGAAAACATGATCCCTTTTGCACAAGAGCTGGTACAAAGATTAAGCTCTAGATGAAATCCTTATGTTTAGTTTATCGAGTACACAGTAACATAAAGTAGCCCCCTCTAGCCTGTTATTGAGAAGAAAGAACAATATACGCATTCACATGTTTGTGAACAAATATCACCCCTTTTCATCAATTTCCGTTTTCTTAACAAACAAAATCCCTTTTTCAAATCCGCAAACATTCCCGTCAACTACCTATTTAACGCGAAATTTCTAATTATCATGTCCCACACACGATATCAATAGGAAGTGATACCACCGCGTAGAGCCTCAGCACATTTTGACAAAAGTTGGATTCCAAGTCCGTCCCCTGGTCTATACCCCCAAAATGACGAATTTCCTAAATTTTACTAACTCTATATAGGTTTCTAACTACTGTGCTAACTGCTTTAACCCAAAACTTAATTCCTTTGAAGAGAAACCGTTTTTTTTTTTTTTTATGATGACGTTAAATGTAATAAGTGTCACTTTTTTGTATCCCATAACATATAGCTCAGTGAAAACGCGCAGCAATATTTCCTTTTTCTGCTGCGGTTTACCGTGTCATATCTGAACGAGATTTTATTAAAAGAGAGAGAGGGAGAGAGAGAGTGAGAAAAAAAATATCAAAGATTCAGGATTCTTAATCCATCGGGGGGGGGGGGCACATGTCTCAAAAAGTGCTAACGAGCTCCCTAAAAGCTCCCCCAAAATTTTCACGTACTTTCTCTCTCTTCTTCTTTCTTTCTCCGTTTCTTTCTGTTTGTTTAAACGTTCATCTAAAATCAAACGTTATCAGCACGGTTTTATCATAGCGATATTTTTGCTATATAGACGATATCATTGTTTACTTTGTATTTGTAGAGGTTCATCTCAAACCGACATGCTTATATAACTGAGCAAAGTTTCCTACCCTGTATTTACGTATATAATCTTTCATTAAAACATGATCTATGTATTGCAAGAAGAACAATTTGTTGGTTGACTATTCTCTGTTGTCCTCACGTGCGTAATGACTGATGTACACAAAGGCATTGGGTTGATACCAAGGTGTTTTTATATTCTGATTATATGTCATTGTTATTAGTTCATTAACATTATTATTTATCATTACTTTTTTTATAATTACATGATAGCACCAAATTCTAAAATATCAATATATTGTTATTTCAATGGACTTGTGCGTCACCTATTGCTGCGTTCAACACAGCTTATCGTATGGAAAATCGTCATGCGTATATTTATAGGGGTGCACAAAAAAAAGAGCAAATCTTGAAAACAGCAATGTCTCTCACATAGCCCTAGAATCAAAATTTCCTACCAAAAACGTATGATCTTGGTTTCATCTTAATGGGTAGGATTTTTTATTCAGGAAAACAAATATATATATTATTTACACATATATACACGCACGCACACACACACGTACGCACACATGTATGATGGATGAGCGGGTTGTGAGTAACGGTGGTGTCTTTGTTTCACTGTCCATACGTTGTGAGAGCTCACACCTCATTGCTTGGGGGCATCTTGAGATGACATGTCGCTGTAAACGCGCTGTGATTCATCTCGGTGTGCCAAGAAACGTGGTACGAGCTCTCCAATAATATGAACAGCGACATAAAAACTTATGAAAACCGAGAATTCCAAAATGCTTCGAAAACAGTGAATGACGGACATGGAGTATGCCTATCGAACCCACATTGGTTTAAAGAATGGAAGTGCGTACAAAAGACATGGGGGTATTATCAACTCATTTTATAAATAATGACGAGAATGATAGAACAGGAATTAAACATATACAAGTGGAAAGGGTTTAAAATGTCATCACAGACTACGAAAGACCCTTGTGCGTGTGTGCTTTTGTGTGTGCTGTGTGTTGTGTGTACGTGTGCGCGTGTGCGTGTGTGTGTGTGTGTGTGTGTGAGAGAGAGAGAGAGAGAGAGAGAGAGAGATAAAGGAGAAAGATAAAGATAGAGAGATAGAGAGAGAGAGAGGGGGGGGGGGGGGAGAGAACGGAAAGCATTCATATATACACAGCAATGATCCATGAACAAAAGTGTGTCAGTAGATTGATGTCAGTCGTGCACAGAGTGGTGGGGGCGGTCAGGGGGTCCGACATTGAGCTATATTAGCGAAAATAATAAATGGATCTAACCTGGTTGAAATTGTAGAACATTGCACCCTGTACCTTGAATTACCAATACCAGACGTTTTAAGTTGTGGCTTGTGCCCGCCGGACGACCCCCCCCCCCCCCCCCCCCTCAAGCCAAATGCCCATCTTATACTCACAGTGAGGATAATAAAGACTTGAAAAAAGTGGTACAGTGGCTACAAAGATAACCGGTTGAAACTGGGTGGAAATTATGGAAAACAACTCCTTGTATCATTAATGGCCACTGTCAGACGTTTCGCCCCCCGAAAGACTGGACTATTTTGAAACTTAAAACAAAATGGGGGGGGGGGGGGTAAAAGGCCCCCTCTCCAACCTAAGATCTCAGCAACTGAAACTCAGATCGACTCCAAATTTGACTTGGTGATAGATGTCTATAAGATCTACGATGTCTATAAGATCTACAATATTGCATAGTTAACATATTTTTTTTAATTAGAAATTTGCTAATTAGAGCTAATTATGCAATGTATTTCTTGGTATTTTTTTGTCTTTTTCTTTATATATGATGATTCCTATGAAACAATATACAATACAATATAATATGGGACAAGCTACATGCTAAGATTATTTTAAACAATCTCTGATATAAAAAAAAAGATAAGCCTAATTGATATGATAGGCTAATTAACCAACTTAATTTTGACGTCATATTATATCATGAACACATGTTTTGGTGATGATTTCAAGTGAAGTTATGAAAGACATTTTAACTTCCTTATAACATCTGTTACATAACAGGAACATCGTGAAAAATTGATTTAGTTTTGCCCTTTTCTTTGTTTTTACTTTGTTTCCATCTTTTTCCTTGTTTTTCTTTGCTTTTCTGTATATTATTCTTTATATATTGCATTGTTTTATGCAAATGAGAATGGAATACGTTTTATTCACCATGCCAAATGGGAATATAAAACTGCAACATAAAAGGTGCATCTAAAAACTTTGTATGTTATATATGGATTTTTTTTTTTTTTTTAATATAACAAAATAATCAAATTTTCAGTGACACACGATCGCAAAATGTTATATAACAACCGGACCGATGACCCGGTGTGCCCAAATTTGGTACCAAAAAATGCGCAAGACTCTAAAAAAAAAGTCATGAATTTGCACCGTAAAATATTTAAGCATTACGAAGTAATCGCGAAAATAGAGGAGAGGGGGGCTAAATCAGCCCCAGTCTTTTTAGGGTTAAGAGGGGTTGTGCCCGCCAGAGGGCCCCAAATGGCAGACGCCCTAAATGAGTGCTAAAAATACTACATTAATAGCGAGAACAGTAACTGGATCAAACCTAATTAGAAAAGTGGAGCATATAACTCTCTTTATTACCAATTAACTGCCAAACTTTTTCAGTGAAGCGTTGTGCTCAACAGACGCCCCTAATGAGTAAAAAAAAAAGAAAAAAAAAGAAGAAAGAATCAATATAATGAACTACTACATAATCTTATCATATATTTCCACTGCAAGACGTTTCAACTAGTGAGCTGCTTCCATCAGACCACCCCCCCCCCCCCAACAAAAAAAGGCCGTAATAAGTGGGAAATTGCATAAGTATTATACGCAACTATATTATTAGAGAGAAAAGTAACTGGATTAACTTGATGGAAAAAGTAGAGCATAACTCTATTGATGATAAATAATTACTGTTTTTTCCATTAAAGTGGAACGTCTGGCAAACACCACCACCACTTCATATTGATCCGTTTAGTCTCATTTCACAACGCCCCCTATCGTCAGAGTCAGCAGCCTAACATGTTAGCCTATGGACGTTTTTTTTTTTTAATCGTTAAAAATTCATTTTTTGTTTAAACGAAAAGCACATCCACCACGACGTACGTTATCACTAGCTCTTTCATTGGAGCCCTCATGTCTCATTGACTTTTGAAAGTTCACCCACCGTCATTTTTCAAAATAGGTTGCAAGCTCGCCATTGCCTATAATACACATGTGAAACAAGTCGAACTTTGGACTCAGTCTGCCAAGCGATTGTCAGATTAAAGGTCAAGCACACGAAGAATAAGAAGCATGAATTATCAATTATCACTTCTGCTATGTTCATTATGTCCATTTCATCCAACCCCCCACCGTAATTTTTCCATTTAGTAAAAGTAAACATTTAGCCGAGGTAAGCAAAAACATGAATATTCACGACACACCATGGACTATTCGGTTATTAACAGAGGGATGCAATCGGTCATCACGTCAAACTCCCCTAATTGCTACCAAGTATTTCATATCATTATATAGTTTGGTATGTTTGTTTTACTCACTCATGAATTATCAAATATCACTGATGGTTTAAAGATATGTAAAAGAAATTTTAGTTGATATTTATTAACAAAATAATTTATATTTAGCAAAGCAATCTCACATACAAAATTACTATCAAGTGTCGTCTGCTACGCCGATTGTCGCCTGCTTCGTTTAAGCAGGGACCTGATAGAGAAGGACTGGAATCAAGCCGCTCTCCTTTGACCCCATGCTCAAAGCCGCCAAAAAGTTATGCGCTAACCTGCAACTGTTGGCCAGGTGGTGAGATAAAAGAGCGCATGAAAATTCAGGATTTAGAATTCCTACATCAGAAAATGGTATCACTGCAACTGTTCACTGTCCCTTCCAATGATTTATCATCCATTGTTGAGTGTGTAAAGAGTAGAACAAGCGAACACAAACTTGTGTAATTCATCCTTTTTTAACTTAAAAAATACAAAAAACACGCGAAAACACGCATTAGCAAACTTAATGTTGTTGAAGATTGTAAATCATAGATCAAATAACAGGACATTACAGTACGCACAAATTAGCGCATTATCCTAAAATATTGAGTTTTTGTCAGGATGTAATTTTTCTTTTACCAACTCTGGCACACAAATTATAGGAAGGACGGAGTTCTAAATTTAAAAATTTGTTTGATGCATTATTTCCAATAAAATCCCCATATAAAGTTTTTGATTTACACTTCAATTTTGCCGGTAATTTAATATTTTGTAATAAATGTAAAACTGGTGCCTGGCTTCTGAAAGTCCCCGCAGTGGAAGCGCGGTTCGGAGCATGGAACTTCAAAGCCAAGTGGAATGTTACACATCCCATTGTTATGCTTTAGAACTCACAAATGCGTTTGAATTAATTACAAGAGTTTCGACTCCTTTCTTTCACCTCCCTGGTAAGGTATACCAGGGGGATTTGTATTTTCCTGCGGTACAACGTATAGCAGGAAAATGTTGTTTATGTAATGGAAGTGGCGAGACGCCACGATTCCGTATGGTTTGAATAACTTAGGCAGGTGAAAGTTATTGTATTGAGAAGGAAAGGAATGTTCACACCCGACGGCGCGGTGGCCTGTACTTATAGCGAAGAAGAAGAATGTATAAATCGCGCCATTGCGCGCGAACACATCACACCCAATGGCATACACCCGGTCCCCTGCAACACAGTGGAACATTCTAAGAAATTGAAAATTTATCTACAAAATAGACCTCTTGAATCATCTGAGACATAACTTACCCTATTCTGATGACTTCAATGAATTTAAAGATAACAATGGCTGCGTTTCCATCCAGAAATAAAACTAGTTTGCAATTAGACATAGTCCATTGCAGGCGCGGATCCAGGATTTTCCAATAGGGGGGGCCGGAAATTTGAAAATTGCGCAGACAGTTTTTCAACTCAACATACCAATACTGACAAGGTCATATTAGAAGCACCATACCGGTAATTTTGTTTTGACATTTTCATCGGGGGGGGGGGGCTGAAGCCTCTTGCCCGAAAAAAATTTCTGGTTTCACAATTCGGCTAGT